ACAGGGAAGCATGATAGTTGATTTCCTTAATATCAATTTTAGTGGCAGAATTAGAATGAAGATAACACTATTTTGCACATTAAGAGATGAAACAGTTGTTACATTGATTTTTTAAACAAAACCTTCTCCAGCCATTTTTTTTTTATATTTAGCAAAAATAAGTAGATTGGTAAAGCCTATAAATAAATGCTCTATTAATATTTCATAATAACTTTTGTGCTTTATAATTTTTTTTAGATATGTGCAAATATGCAAATTTAGCCAGACACTCTCTGACCACTGTTTTACATATAAAATTTCATTTATGATAGCAGTCAAAATGAATAGGTATTGCTATGGATACTAACAAGTATAGAATGCTCATTTTTATGAACATTTGCCGAAATGTTTAACATTCTTTTCCATTTCATTGGTGTGTATATTATCAACCATCAACGCTATGATCTTTGAATGTATATTTGAATTTTAACATTCAGTTTCACTGACTGAACTTCTCTCACCTGTAAAACACATATTTTTTGTAATACCCTTTCTGAAATTTTGTTCAAAGAATTAAAAAGTGGTAGTCCTTGGGGAGCATGTGACAAACAAGCAATGTACTTTTCACACATTGTATACATAAGCATGGGACCCACATAACAACACATTGCAATGAGTACTGGTACCAACTTTTAAGCTATATGCAAGTAACAAGATACAAATTGACACATATTGTTAATTTACACACCTTCGGGAGTCCACTGATTTCGCACCATTTGCTGGAGATACTTTATAGCACTGTTCAACCGATTACTCATCATACGATCTGCACACCTGCAAAGACAGAAATTATTGAAATACACCAAATGTATGCAAAATGCTGGTGGGAAAACGATACATTTGGATTTTAGTGTATCTGGAATTATTTTCTCTATTGCCTTATTTATACAGAGGGTTAGATTGTTTTGTAAATATTTCTTATTAGTGGGCTAAACCTGCATTCTTCTCGTACATTGAAGTGTTTTTTATATTTAGCTCAGTGATTCACAGATTTATGCCATATTTATTTACCACTGGGGCACTGTTAGAGGGCACTGTTTCGACCCTGAGACATCGTTCATGGACATCCCATTGCAGGGGTAATGCAGAACTCAGGGTTGAGACCAGCCTGATGAGTCTCAGCTGTACTAGCCTGTATTGACACCAATGTAGCCTATTATCATAAGCATTACTCAGATATTTCAGTTCAGTAAGGGCGCACACATGGTTTTCAACATTGGGTTAAAATTAATTCTGGAGTAAACCCCACATTTTGCTACAAGTGCAAACTCCCTATTATACAAATGGAGGAATGCATGGGCTTGATCTAGAGTTTTGTGATATGAGTAATGTGTTGAAACAAAGCCTTTTAACAGTGACCCAATTGTAAGAGGATAGTCTATAATGCTGAGTTCAATCTATAGAAAAACAACTACAACATATGAACAGAACATAGGTGTAGCCAAAGACAATAACAAACTCTTTTCTATTGCCTTTGGTTTAGTCCGCTGATAAGAAATATATACAAGGTGAACTAGCTCCATGTGTGAACATGCTTGTATTATAGTTCAAACTATTATACAAGATTAATATAAAAACGGATTTGATGGAGGAAATATATATATCACTGTAAAAGCAGTAAGAATATACAAGAGATGCAGTTTATTTTGCAAATTTTGACAAATTTCACTTTTTTTTTAATATTTTTTATTGGATTGTATGAACATCTGTATTCTGTGAAAATTTGAAATTAAAATCATAAGTGGAACTCTGTTAAATCCAATGGCGATGTAAATCAGCATATATTTTTACTTAACTATAAAATATGCGAATTAGCAATTATCTCAGCTTCTTTTTAGTGCACATCCCAGAACTTTAATTTGACAGGAAACAGAGGCATGGTTTAAAAGATAATTTTTTTTAAATCACTTTTGACCAAAAAAAATCACATTTTTGTGCATATTTAAAACTACAGTGTCCATAAAAAAATACTTACAAAATTTTAAAATTCATACAATAAGCTTTCTGAAAATATATAGTTTTGTGGACAAGGGAGATCATCTTGGTTGCCTAATTAAAATACCTGTCAGGTAAACTGCATCTCTACTTTAATTACACTAACAAGCAGCCTCTCGGCTAAGATAGCTCCGCTGTTAGCAATGCACATTTCAATTAAAGAACAGAAGATATCATTAGAAAATGTACAATATGTATAGTATCAAAGCAATGGGACTTGCTGTTTTCAACAAGAATTCAAAAATATCATTTTTCACCATAAATGATAGTGGTTTTTAACAAGAAGTCGAAAATATTATTTTTTACCAAAAATGATAAAAATATTCATCAAAATTAGAGAATTCAAGATATCATCATAAAATGAACAAATTTAAAAGTGGTCCACATGTAGTACCTATATATGTAATATCAAAGCAATTGGACTTGCTGTTTTTTACAAGAAGTTGAAAATATCACATTTTACCAAAAATGACAAAAATATTCACCAATATTAGAGAATTGAAGATATGATCATGAAATGACCAAATCTGAGAGAGGTCTACCCAAGGTACATATACACCAAGTATCAAAGCATTCAAGCTTGTAGTTTTCAAGAAGAAGTCGAAAAAGTAAAACATTGACACAGACGACGACGGACAATCACTCATATGATAAGCTCCGCTCGATAAAGTCGACAGCGAAGCTAAAAATGCAGAGAAAGTATTTTTAGCTGAAATGTAAAAGTAACATTAGCCAACTCTATTTTTCCTACTACATGTACAAATGTTCAAAATATGAAAAAAAACACTAAGTACAATGCATTGTCAGTATATTGTTTGTTTTGGGGTTGATATAGCATAAAATGAGATCAGGTTTTGTTTGTTGAATTTGGATCCTCTTTCACACTTCTTGACTTCACATAAAGGAAATATTTTGTAATTTGATGACATATTTTATCAATACAGTTGAAAATATTTTTACTCAGAAGAAGAATAAAACAAGTGCAACCATGGTAACACATCGGAT